ACTCCTAAACAGCTGACTCAGGATCTACGTACCTCATCTAATTCCATCTGTACTGTTCACATACTCATTTTGCACATGCATAATTGCACACTCACTGCTGAGTATTTGCACTTCATGTAGCATATATTCTCTCTGCATTATATTGTGTTTTTGTTGTATTTTTATTTGCTTCCTTCACTTGCTGCTTTAAAGTGCATTTGTGATTTTTTTGCCTATTTAGATTTGTGTTATTGCTCATCTACTTTATATTTCACTTGTATTGTGTGGCATTCATGTGGACGGCAAAGTAAGAATTTCATTGTACTGGGAAACGCGTTTCCTAACTGTACATATGACAAATAAACACTTTGACTTGACTTTGACTTTGACTTGAAACTGGCAGCTAAAGTGTAGTACATTTTAAAATATGCTAAAATATGCAAAAAATTCTGGAAGTCTGAAAATGTTTAACTACAGTCCTGCAGTAACAATAAAAATTCTAGTTTACATGGACTGTAAAAAAAAAGTTGAGTTAAATCTTCTGGTTTGAACTCCATCCTTATTGAAAGCCTACCAACTTTTTTAACCTGTAGTACAAAATCACTGTAGTGCCCCTTTACAAACTGGATCAAAAACTGCATGTGCCTTTCTTCTGTTTGTCTGAGAGTTTACAGTACATTTCATTATTTAACCATGAGGGAGAGAGAAGTGCAATAAACATCCCAGATGGATTTAAAGTGACTTGAAACTACTAAATGAATATCGCACCTAATACAATAACAGATCAGCAATAACTGTCAGTTCCTACGAAGTGATGAAGTGTCTTTGCCTTATTCTAATTGTTGTGCACCAAAACTGCCACTTTGAATAAATTCATTACAGAGAGAGACAATTTTTTGTTTTTTCCTCTCTAAAGCCCCCCACCCCCTTTTTTCAATTTATTGCCCCTTTGTGAATTCTATATGTGTCTGTGGCAGCAGTCAGGCAGGTACAATACACAATGACACAACACAGACGAGCATACCCACCCCGTAGAAACATTACACATGTCACAGTAAACCATAATAAACCATCATTCACAAAGATTTGTTCATCGATTTTATACTGTAGGGTATAAAAGATTGTGCAACCCACAACAGCAGTAACAACTCGTAGTCACCATGCAGAGGATGTGATATATCCCTAATAGTTGTCTCAGCCTTCCGCATATATAACTAATGGCTGGATGCACCCATCAAAGTGAACTGACTTGGGGATGTGCTAAGATATTCTTAAAAATGTAAGAAGCTACTAGAGTAGACAGGATACAGCAGATTCAGGGACAGTGGATACAGGAAATAGACTTCAACTGATAGTTTTATTGAAATTCAGGTGTTTCCTTTTTTATAAAATTTAGTTTATTAATTTATGATTTAAACCCAATGACTGTGTTTAAGTGACTTGATAATAATGGATACTCAGAAGAAAATAACTGTGAAAATATGCTGTTTGGAGCTATGTTTCTGGCTAGTGGATATTGCAGTGGTTTAAAAAAAGGATTAGAAACTCCTTTATCAAAGCCTGAGCATCCTTCACTGTGCATTGTTCACAAACCAACAGTAGCTAATAACAGAGACTGACCATCTCAGTGTTGGATAAATAGACGAAGAAAAGAAAGAAATGGAAAGGGATGCATTCAACAGAACTACAGTATGATGAAGTATTTACAACATATTTACAGTAAGATACATACAGTACAAGAAGGGGGTGGGGCTTAAGGGGTGAAGATGGGATCGGGTAAGAAATGAAAGGGTAAAGTGTGGGAAGGGGTAAAGTGGAGTGGCATGAGAGGCAAGGAGTAAGGGTGGGGTTGGCTAAGAGGCAGGGGAAGGGGTAGAGTATTTGGGGGAGTGGATAAATTAGGAAGAGTAAAAAGGGAGTAGAGGTGGGGGTTACAGGAGGAAGGATACTCTGCTACCCTCCTGTTGATCTTTTTCTTCCCCCTCTTCTTCTTGGTTGTTTTGCTTTTGTTCTTGCTCATTTCTTTCTCCACACTACACCTTTTGTCTCCTTGTCCACCTTCTCATTCTCTTTGTCCTTCATTGTTTCTTTCCCATCTTTCACTGGATAAATCAAATTTCTAACCTGTGGCCAAAGAGGGAGCGTCAGGGGATTACCAAACTGAAGAGGGGAACATCATGATCATGAACACTTTAAAGAGCAGACAAACCTGACTGACTGTCACTAACACTCCTGTAGTAAGATGTTGGTGGTGTCAAAAGCAGCACTGAGATCTAAGAGGACAAGTATATAGACAAGTCCTTTGAGGCCAGGAGGAGATCATTGGTGACTTTCACCAGTGCAGTTTCTGTACTATGATGGACTCTATAACCAGACTGAAAATACTCAAACAAATCATTTTTGTGCAAATGGTCACATAATTGCTTTGCAACAGCTTTTTCAAGGATTTTGAATTAAATGGGAGATTGGATATTGGTCTATAATTAGCCAGAACACCTGGGTCAAGAGTAGGCTTTTTGAGTACAGGTTTAATTCCAGCAACCTTAAAAGCATGAATGAACAATAGTACACACATGCACATGAGCACTGAACATACACATATACGAGACACACACACATACAGAGCCATTCTGTTTACCCGTTTCTGTTTCCATTTTTATTTGTAAGATAAAGGCATCAATTCTCTCTTCTTGTTTGGTCTCTGACACATAGATGCGCACACACACATTGTGTTTTGATACTGTTTGGCCTCGCAGCTCATTCAAACAGAGCTAGAAGAGGGTTTTCATGAGAGTAATTAGTACAAACTCCTAAGGGAGCAGAGATAGGCTTCACATGGCTTTACACACTCTGCCTCTATCTGTGTCTCTCTCTCTCTCGCCCTCCACAGCCCAGCCATTAACAGCAACAGCAAGTCTCACTCATCCTCCAACCTCATTATATACTATCTAAACAAACAGCTTCCTCAGAATAATCGTTAGGACAATCTGGCATAACCAGCTAATTTTGCCTGCCTTTGTTTAGCCTAGTGAACATTGTATACTACATGCAATTATGTGAAGAAAAGATAGAGATAAGAGAAAAAAGTGAATAAAAATTTCAAAAGGAATGCAGTCCATAGGGGCTGTTTTAGTTTTAGTGGATATATTTGTAGAAAATGGTCAGTGAGTGGGTTTTAAATATAATTTAGGGAACACTTCTGTGAAGCAGAACCTAATCTCCCCTGGTGTTTTTTCACAGCTCAGCCTGCTCTGTCTGCCTCCTCCTCCAAACTGTTCCACTTACAAAGAACGTGAATGCAGTGATGGGCAGCATTTCCATAGAGATTATGCATTTTCATTAGCCAGTTAGACACTATGTCATGTGTGCTGCTTTGGCCCTTCTAAGGATAGACATGGTGAAAGTCCAGAACTATTCTGTTCACCTCAGCAGTTTTGCTGGAATGATTGAAAGTGTGAGCAAGGGCGCGAGTGCTGGGAATCTTATACTGCTGTTTCAGGGTTTTTTCAGACTATAGATAGTTTCAGGAGCAGTTTTTCACTTTAAGTTTTTACTGAAGGACCCAGCTACTGTATGGTGTTTTGTTTTTGTTTTTCTGCATTCAGTTATGATGTGTTTGTCCATCAGTGTTTTAGTGCTATTAGAGTGCAGTTTGTCTGAATATGTATATATACTCACATACATGTATGTAAGTGGGTTGACCTCCTACTCAGAGTTTGGGATTACCTCTTCAAATTAGCCCAGTTAACTTATTTACAAATATTCCAAACCTGGATCACCAGCATGTCATCATCCTTTTGATATGCTTTGCATTGTTGTTGTTGTTCTTGTAGACAGATTTAATTTGACCTACATGTATCTCAAACAGCCAGTGTCTTTGATACACTGTACATAAGCAGTCTACTTCTAATGTGTTTTACTGCAAAAGACAGTGTGTAATAAATATTGTTTAGGAATGCTGTTACACTGTTATTACAATTTGAATCCAACATAGGAACGGCAGGCTTTGTCACTGCTATACAGAAAGGTCATTGCTTAATATAATTAGGCTGCATTTATTAGCTACTGCAAAAAAAATTCTGGCCATAAACAGTATCTGAGAGAGAGTATGAGTTCTCAAAACTCTTTAGCATTCTAACTTTATGATGCTCTTTATTGTCCACAGATCTTATGGTGGTATCACACAACAAAGTATTTGCTCCTCCACATGGAAGCTTGGTGACCAGTAGTGACTACTCTCAGGGCATATTCAACTGCTGCAGCTGGCAAGCTAAAGGCTAACTTGCTAAGAAGTCCTACTGGTGACAAAGGGCTGCTGTAGATCACTAATATATGAAGGTGCATGACCATGCAGAGCTCTAAACGTGATTGCAAGAATCACATTTTGAATTCAGATTCTGATGTTGACCCATGTAAAAAAAAAAAAAAAAACCTGAGCAACAAGCCCGATCACATGGTTTCTAACATGGCTTTGTAGCAGTGTTCTGGACCATTTATAAACAGCCTGGGGATGGGTTAGTGTTAGAGAAAGGTGAAAAGAAAATCATCTAGAGATGGACTGAAGTAAAAGCTTTTTTACCACCACATTAGCTCCACCATTTGTACTTCAGGTTGCTACTGGAAATTGTTGTCTCTGTAAGGTCTTATTCTAACCCTGCTCTTCTGCTATTGGTCCTGTGTCTTTATCCCTTTTTACTGTGGAGACAGCTTGGTTTTGGGTGAGCAGAACAATGCTAATAAATTTACCCTTAACAAGGGTGTGATTAGCCTATTGATTCTTTCTCTCAGCTTCCTCGCTGCTGCAGAAATTGTCTTGCACGATTACATTTCTGTGACAAGGCACATTGACACAAACAATGTGAAGTGCAAATATGCTTTGATTCACCTTTAAGCAGTGAAGGTCACACATCTTTCCCCGCTCCACTGTGGATTCACAGTGACAGTGACACAGGCAACTTTTTCAGCTTTGTAAGCATGACAGTGATGTCTTCTTCTTCTGTTGTTTGTTTGTACCCCTGCAGACTGAAGAAGAAGTCTCAGTCAGTGGATATTTCCAGTCAAGGTTTCTCCCCAACCCTGGTGCCAGCCTCACCCCTCAACAGGGCTGCATCACCTGTTTCCAAGACAACCACTGTCCTCGCAGTGCAGGAAAACAACACCACCAACTCCCAGCGCCGCAGTCCTCGACGTGGCGAGTTGAAGAGAGGCTACACCATAGGTAAATGGCACTAGAGCTGGGGTTCTGAACTGTCTGTTTGTGTAGCAACTGTTAATGTAAAATCAACCAGATCCATTTATCTATATATAAACTCTAGACTAACTACTAAAGCAGAAAGGTGCCAGAGAAATCATGTAAGAACATCCACAAACTCATGTTGTAATCACTTGTTTCTTCTAATATACAATTTCATTTACTGCACCTGTTTATCATCATAATATCAGCTTTTACTGTATTTTAAGTGTATTTACAGGAGCATTTCATTAGATTTCGATGTCTAGTTATTACATTATCAATTGCGAGCAGGCTCTTGGGGAATGGCTTGTTATTATACTGTGTGTGTATGTGGGTGTGCAGATATTCAAGTTCACACACTCTCTGAACTGTTGAACTTCTAACCCAGGCAAACTTCATCATGTCACGTCCACAGCTGGCTCCCCCCTTTGCTCATCTTCTAATTCATTTCCTGCTTACAAATTATAATTATGTGACTCTGATGAGATTTACTCCTGCGATGAATCCTATTTTTGGTGGTGGAGGTGGTGGGGTGTAACTTTGTGCTGGGGGGGGTCTATGTCAATGTTGCAGGGTAGGCTGCTGCTGTGAGAGTAAGTACACTTCAGGGAGCTGACTTCTGATGAAATGAGTTCGAGCTAAACTAATTCCAAACTCATAAATGCAATGCACTGTTCACTTCACTGATGTGATTCAGTTAGCAAGCTGCTCAGGTCAAGTTTAGGAAGAGGTACTGTGTAAGAAAGAGTATGCAAACAGGGCTTTTAAATGTCGCTGAACCACCAAAGGTAATCTGCAATTTCTCATTTCTTTTGCATTTGTAGTGACATCTTTGGAGCTTGTTGTTGTATTCTGCATTGCTTTTTTTTCTATTTACTTCTTTAGTCTGAGTTATTTAAGTACATAATTATAGTCATATTGATTCAAACTACAGTGCTACTGCTGCTGCTGCTGGACTATTTCCTATACCACACTCTTTGATTTTGGCACCGCAAATACACAGGCTTTTATGGGCTTATATCTGTGCAATGAGTTGTGAGTTCTGAGTGGTTCATTATTACCTAGTAAAACAAGGAGTGACGTCAAATATATCCTATCCTTTCATCTATCCTTGATATGTTGGTAGACATTGTCTATACGGTATATGTGATTTAAATTATTTAGACTGGTAAAACATTTTTAAAATCTGAAACTCAAGAGAAAACAAACTCAGAGGGAAAGGCATAAATGCTTTATATTGTAGCTTAATGGTAATACAAACTGGATGATGGCAGGTATTAAAACACTGGAGAAAATATGAACTGGTGCAAAAATCAATGAGCAAAGCACATTAAAGAATGAAAGAAGCACAGGAGAAGCAAGAAAATCCAAAGAAAAGTGTTTTCCAAAGTTATAAATGCCCTTCATGATGAATAACATGAAAAGCAACATGAGCGTTGACATTTCAATACCTCCATGTCTAGCACTTATTATATCCTGGCAGAGGAGAGAACACTGACTCTTTGCTAAGTGTGCTGTTTACTAGTCAGCTCATACTGTAAGGAGATAATGTGTGAACGCTGGTTTCCTCCATCTTAGTTTGTCTTTCTCTGTGATTTTAGCCACTTTTACATCTGTTGCTCGGTTCATTTAGACCAGGCTAACAAAATAATGATACGTTGCTTCCCTTTTATCTCTGGGATGCTTCATGTTCACTCTGAGAAATTACAGCTGAACCAAGAGGAGTAAACATGAAGCCATGTGATCAGGCTTGTTGCTCAGTGACTGGGCAGTTTTAGTCATGCAGTCACATCAGCACTACTTAAATGCACATGAGGAAATTAAATTCTGATGTCTGACAACAAATGATGCAACACTTTGCTGAACCTGATGAGCTTAAATTACATAAAGGTCTTAACGGGGACGACGCCTGCGTACATGTGTCCATGGTTACCAAATGATCTTGCATTATTCTACTGAATGCTTCTGAGGTTCGGTTCTTTGACAGTGTACTTTGTCAGAAGGTCGATGTAATAGCAGTTTAGCTTTTGAATTAATGTTACAATTGTATATTGTAAATATACAATTTATTATTATTGTAAATAGCTTTAGTATATTTTACATTTTTCAGCATGGATAGTTGTTACCTAGAGTGCTTCAGATGTGGACCCATCAGCTTACAGTATTTTTCATTTGACGCTCTTAATAGAGTTCTTCATGAATGTGCATTTCCTTGCATGTCCTTGAGCATACAGCCTGCGATTAGCCATGTAAATCAGCCCAGCAGCTTGAAACTTTGTAGCAGTGGCTGCTCTGCTGGGAAGGGCCGTGTCAGTGTGGCTCATGTCACACAGTGTCGTCACTGAGTAGGGAGAGACTGGAGAGTGGGTGAAGGAGTGCCATTCTGCCTGTGTGTCTGCTGGTGTCACACACTGATAAGCTTTCTACGGAGTCATCACGTATCGACTCGGCTCCTTGGGCCAGCCACTGACTGGAGAACATATTGATCTGCGGCCGTCTGTATCAGTTTAGCCGGCAATAATCAATAAAGGAAACTGCAGGTTAAAAGCTTGGCAGGAAGGGTGGGGGGACAGGTCGCTATTTTAGCTTGCGCTTATCATCCATTATCCATTCAGTGGCAATGCTGGGCGCAGGGTCACAAGTCACAGTCATTCAGCCATTAAATGAAATGTCAATGTGAATTTTTTGTGTGTTTAAAGCTTTTAACTACAAATTATATATGCCTCTAAAGCATGAGTCATAGCACTGAATCATTTGCTCTAGCTATCATTGGCCTATATGGCTACAGAAATACTGCATCTGTCAGTCATTGATTCCGTTATATCACATAATTAGACTGTGATTAGTGGCTGTCCTGTCTCTCTATCGCCTCTCTCTAGATGGGAGTCAGTGAGTGGAGTCCTGTGTCATTTTTATATAGTAAGACCCAGGTCAAACTGCTCCTACAGAGCCGATCATGCTAATTTATTCTAATGGGATTGTAATAATGTGGCTTGTTGTGCTGTCTGCCGGCTTCACACAGGTCTTTCATTAGAGGCACATGGTGCATTCAACACCGACATTTTAATAACTCGAGTGATGAGCCTCCTACCAGGACAACACCGAGGGCAGTTCTCACCTCTGAGGACAAGCAGTGATTGATATGATGAAGGTGTTCTGAGTAATTATGCTACATTTTCACAGTCATTGCAGTGTCCTTTAACTGAAGACAAAGATAAGCAGTACGGCATCTAAATGCATTGTGATGAATGTCAGTCATCGCTTGGCTGATGTCATCAAAGCAAAGATTGAAGCGAGATTTAGAAAGAAAGAAGGGCAGTGTTCGAGCTGTCAGAGCGAAGACATTTGTATCTTCTAATAAAGAAGTATTGTACTGTGGAATAAATATATTGACATGAAATGTGACAAATAAGGAAATGTGAAAAGGAAAGGATAGAAAAGGAGGAAGGGATCCAGGAAGGATGGGAGATGAAGGAAAATGAGAGGGAAAGGTGGCAAAGTGAGGTAAAAGGACAAGGAAGGGAAGAGAAGGCAAAGAAAGGAGAGGGAAGGGAACACTTTAACATGTTATCGCTTAGATTTTACTATGAGTATGATTTGTAAATAAAACAAAAGAAAAGAGAAGGGAAGTAAAGGAAAAGAGAGGAATGTAGAGGAAGGGAGAGGAAAGGAAAACAATAGAAAGAAACCAAAAAAGAGGAAAAGTAAGGAAAGGACCCTAGGACAAAGAAAAAGAGAGGAAAGCAAAGGAATGCAGAAGCCAGGAAAATAAACAAGTGAAAGAGAGAGGAGGAAAATAACAACAAGGAATGGAAGGGAAAGGCCATATTTGCCTGTGATCTCCCACACGCCTGCAGCGTTGCTTCCTGAGAGGACACGATACTTGACACTAGCTGCCCCCAGACTCAGCATCTGTATTTGAGAGCCTCCGAGTCCCTTCACCATGTCTGACCTTTACATCAATATAGTGAGCCTGCAGCGTCCACTTTGGAGCACACTGAGCTCTACATGGTGATAAAATGCCAAAAAGGACCTGAACCCGATGTTGCTAGAGCTGTAGACCCATTAAGCATGACATACTGTATAGTGTTCCTGCCTACAACAAGTACACTTGAAAACTGCTTCATCACACTATATTCATATTGGATATGTGCTGCACAAGTACTCCTTTATCTCTATTTTCCAAGGCTGACTCATGCTCCCTGTGCCTATATATAACATGTACATGTGGCCTGACTCTGTGTGTGTTTGTACATAGTCCAATGTTAACTATGGATTTGATTTAAGTAAGCTCTTGCAGGTGGGAGATATTCCACTGTCCCTCCTGCAGATGGATGTGCGTGTGTGTATGGGTGCACAGGGATAGCCTTCACAGCATGCTTCTGCAGATAATGCTGCTGCACATCTCACCCTCCTTTCATCCCTCCACAGCTTCTTCTCCTCATCCCGTTTTTTTTGCTCTTTATGCTGTTTCGTTCTCTAGTTCCTCCTCTGCTCCCTCAGCCATTCCCATCCTCGTTACCTTCTAATGTATTTCCTATGTGTCTGACCGGGGGTACAGACAGAAGGGGATTCTGACAACACAAAAGATTGTCACAGACTGTGGCACCAACCTTAGCTGCTATACTGAGGAGAGGCATTTTATCACATTATGCTATTGTTAGGAGTGTGTACCACTCCCTCTCAAAAGATTTGATCCATATCCCAATACATATGGTCCACAATTCAATGCAAAAATGCTACAGCTAAATTTGCAACAATACGATAAAGCAGTGGTTCCCAAAGTGGGGGTCGGGACCCCCGGGGGGTCGCGGGATGATTCCCAACCATAATGTAAACTAGACTGCATTTCCATGAAGGAAAGAGAAGCACAGCCGCTAGAAATGCCATCTACCTCCCTTAAAGCCCGCCAAATCCATAAATACCATGTCCGTCAACAATCGAAGTGCCCCCCCTTAAAACCCAGAAAATATAGAGAAGAATTT